TTGTCTTTTGATAATGTTGTGTATTTTATTATTTATGTTTTTTAATTGCTTGCATTGTTGTTATTATCACTTGTATTGTTGTGTTGGGCTTGGTCTCATGTAAGCCGCACTGAGTCCCTTGGGGAGATGGTAGTGGAGTACAAATAAAGTATTATTATTATTATTATTAATCATCATCATCATCCCAGTAACTACAACTCCCAAATGTCAAGGTCTATTTCCCTTAAACTCCATCTGTGTTCATATTTGGGCATATGGAATATCCATGCCAAGTTTGGTGCAAATCGATCATTGTTTGAGTCCACCATGCTGTCTGGATGTAGGTGAACTACAATTCCCAAACTCAAGGTCAATGCCCACCAAACCCTTCTAGTATTTTCTGTTGGTCATGGGAATCTTGTCTGCCACGTTTGGTTCAATTCCATCATTGGTGGAGTTCAAAATTTATTTATTTATTTATTTATTTGATGTACTTATTGACCGCCATTCTCAGCCCTTACGGGCGACTCATGGCGGTGTACAGTACACATAAAAAGACAGTTACAAAAGGTCGGTAAACAACAACATAACTATACAACAATACACACTACATAAAAATCCGCTTCGTCTCTTAGTAGAATCATAACCAATCTCATCTTCCTTATGCCATACCAGTTTTCATTGCCGTAATGTTGATGCTTCGCACTTAATTGAATGCCCTCTCGAACAGCCAGGTCTTAAGGCTTTTCCGAAAGGACATAAGGGAGGGCGCCTGTCTGATGTGTGCCGGGAGAGTGTTCCACAGCCGGGGGGCCACCACTGAGAAGGCCCTCTCCCTCGTCCCCGCCAGTCGTGCCTGTGACGCAGGCGGGATCGAGAGGAGGGCCTCCCCAGACGATCTCAAGGTCCTCGTGGGCTCGTAGGCCAAGATGCGGTCGGAAAGGTATCAAAATGTATCTTTGATTGTAGGTAAACTATAAATCCCAGCAACTACAACTCCCAAATAACAAAATCATTTTTTTAGTGATCGCCACTCCTTGAGTTAGTAGGTGTCTTGTGGCCAAATTTGGCGGCAATTTGTCCAGTGGTTTTTGAATTATGTTAATCCCACAAACAAACATTATATTTTTATTTATATTGGTGGGTGCCTTCTATTGTTCTATATGATAGTTGTAGTTGTGTATTGCAATGTTAGATTAAATATTGTATTTGCTACTGTATTTTCCCTATATGTTTCAAAGATTCTCTCACAACAGGTGGAAATCACTGAGGTTACTGCTGCTTATTCTGAGAACAAAATCAGCAAGGAATTATGTTCCTGGAAGAAACACTTCAGTAACAAGAATCAGAGGAGTTGTTACAAAACCTTGCTAGAGGTCTTTGAACAAAAGGTGGACACTCATTTCTTATTCAAGCCCTTGTTTTTCTGTTACAAGTCAGAGCTGAGATACATAATCTATAAGGCTTCTTATGCTTCTGACTTTTGCTTGTGCTGCTCCCTTACTGTGAATCCCAAATGAATGATTACTTGAGAGAGAAATTCTTGTAGTAGGCTGCCATGAGCAAGTGTGTGGGAGATGTTTTTAAAAAGCACATTCCTAGTTCGGGCCATAATGTGTCCCCTTCAGAACATTGCCTTTCTCTTATCTTGCTAGTAGTGATCTTGAGCAGCAGTACGATGACTCATGAAGCACGTAGGTGACTGCTCACTGACTCAGTAGCAGTGTGTGGAACTAAATCGGAAAGGATGAACATTCGTGCAAACAATCAACCTGTGTTTTTGTACCACACTCTTTCATTGCTTGCATTTATTTTTTAAGATATGGAATTCATGAGGTTGCCATAAATCAGCAGGCAACTTGAAGGCACGCACACACAAATGCAAGGAAGACTGTGAATATCTGTTTGTCTCTATACGTTTTGTTGTAGTTAGTATTTGTGTCATATATTGGGTAGGAAGTCTTCACCCTCCCTCCATTGCCTTCCGGCATATGTAATTAGTTTTCAAGTTATGCATTGTTGCATGAAATCTTCCCATTGAGCAAAGTTTGTTTACGTACGTCTTTTCAAATATGAATACTTTTAGTTCTGTGCCTCTTTAACTATGCACATGGTTTTATCTAGGGGTTTCTGAGGCAGGATGTGCTTCAAACAATTACTATTCTCAGCACATTTGAAATTCCATATATTCATAGTGAACAGTAACCAGGGGTGGCTCGTCCATTATGCGAAGTAAGCTGTCACAGAACACTTTTTTTGCCAGGGGCGCAGAGGCACCTCTGTAAATGCCCCTCGACCACCACTTGAGGACCGCCCCCTCAGCTCACAACAGCCCTAGCAGTCCGGGGGAGCCTCGGCTTTCTTGCCTCCCTGCCAGGTGATCCTCTTCCCAAAGGGGCCGGGCCCTTGAGCCTCGCCTAGCCCCTCTCGTTCCTACTCCACCCAGCCACCGGGTGCGCGAGCAGAGCCGGCGCTCAATCGTTCTCCGCATTCGATCCCTTCCCCATGACCGGCTCC